AAAGCTCAGCTCAAACTGTAAGAACCAGCACTGAGCCCTGTTACATTTATGCACAGTGTCAGAGCAACGGCTGCAACCAACAGCCTTAAACTTGTGATTAAAATGTTGCCTGTAAACACATCAGTCCAGATGTTACTACATGACTTTCTAATATCTTGAGTTAAAAGACCTTAAAGAGGGCGATTACAATGACAGTTGTCATTTCTGTCATTGCCTACATCACTGCCCTCTGCCAAGACAAAGAGTAGAGATGACACTATTGATTAAAGTTCAGTTGTTTTAATTACACGAGTACACGCACATTCATTCTCAGCTGAACATAGATGATCATCAAGGACCATGTTCACCTAATACCAGCCTCTAACATAGCATGTTGAATCCAGGTCCAGTATATTCCAACGAGTATCATTTAACAATTTACTGCACCTACATTACCAAAGCCTAAACCTATTCAAATATGTCGTAAAGATAAAGATAGTATAATTTAATTAATCAAATACATGTAATAAAAACCAAAGCTGGAATTGATTCAGTTTATTAATTTTGTCTGCATGTTCTGTAGGGTCTGTGTATACAGGCCCTGAACGTATACAGTAAATTATGTGAAAATCATTTTCATAAAGTTTTTAAATCAGTGCTGTTGTTTTGGCTGATGTTCATATTTTCAACAGACCTTTGTGTTTAGGTTTTGGAGCTGAAACAACTCATTGAGTAATTCAAATGATTTAATTATAAAAAATTCGCGACACAAATTCTTTGTTTAATGCTTTATTTGATACACAGCTCTGGTTCGCACCGTTGTAGTAAACACAAACATTTCACCCACATTTGCGACTAAAAGCAGACCTGCAATAGAAATGGTTTTAGGAGCAGCATGTGAATAAAAATTCAGACAACTTTAAGCCTTATGCTCTTTATAGTACCCGACTTATAGTGTCCTGTCACGTATCATTGCTCACAGTAGTACTATTAGCCCTAGTGTTAATACTGTCTGTGTTCGGCTCACATTCTTGCCTACAATTGGAGGGTACTGTCACGTCCGGTGTGGCAGACGTGTGGAGTTTGTAGAAAGGACCCAAAATGTAGCAGCTCTGGTGCAGGCGAGTATTTATTGAACAGAGTAGAGACAAACAGAAGTGGTGGGTGAACATGAAACTGGAAAACCTAAACTGGGCAAAACGAATAAAACAAACCAGAACGAAGATGCAGGGAGGTACGGAGAGACGCACGGAGAGACGCAGGGGAACAACACAGACGAACCAGCAACTAACAGAGGCAGACACGAGGTTTGAATACACAGAAGGATAACAAGGGAATGAGACACAAGAGGAGGGCACAGCTGGGAGTAATCCGACCAGACGAGACAGGGGAAAGTAACCTGAACACACTGAGATCAGACACGGATCTTCAAAGTAAAACAGGAAACACATACACGTAATGACATAACACACAGGCTGGGGGACACAGAACACAGGAGCATGAACCATGAAACAGAAGAGTACAAACACCCAAGGTAACCAAAACCACAGAATAATAATAAACTAAAACATAAACACGGAGTCACAGACTCATGACAGGGACGTCGTAGTATTTCGTGTTTTGTATTGTCGCGTCCCTGTATATAGCCCTGCCCCTTAGTGTTCAAGTGTGTAGTTGTTTCACCCAGTGTTGTGTATAGCCAC